GCATGACAAAAATGTACATGGTGAGACAAAATCATGATGTTACCAACTTTTCATACAAACATTGTTGAAACATATCTAATCAGTTCATTAATGTAGAAAGTTGAGAAGTCTATAATCACATCATACACAGAATTTTCTCTTACAAATCAATAAGTAAATCGTTTCTTTAAATAGTAAAAAATGATACACGAATTTATTATGATATACAAGCTAAGGAGTTTCTAAAGAAACTAGTAAGATCACAAGTAGGGAACATAAGGCATCAACATATTTTATTAACACCAAAATTTAACTTCACATATTTTGTTGAACGATATATTTTGGAGAGTAAATTTAGATATTTGGATTATTTATATTTATTATTAGCCATCTTGATACCTTATAGAAATGGTTTTATCTTGAGACAAGTCGTGTTGTTACCAACTTTTGATCAAAAATAGTTAGATCACATTTAATTATGTTCATTAATGTGTAGTTGAGAAGTTTACAATGCCCATATTGCATGTAAACGAAAATGCCTATAATTACGACAATAACAAATTAACAACATACACTTTTATCATCTTAGAAGCGAAAAAACGATTTAAAAATTTTGAAAATAAATCTTCATCATCTAATTTGTTTCAATGTATCTATGGATAAAAAATCGGTATGGGTTGTTCAATCTATTGATGCGTTATATTCTCAACTTGACAAAGATCCATTTATCATACCAAAATTGATATTCATATTTTGTCTACACTATACTTTATGCATCATCAATTTACGAGAAATTAAAATATGGTTGTGGGACTGATGGTGTTGATGCCGCTGTTAAAACTCAGCTCAACATACATTGATATAGTTTTTTGCCTTTTGCAGTGGAGAACATTCAAGTCAATATAACACTAAACTAATCAATTTTTTCTCAATCTTGTCCGTCTTCACATAAGTGGAGGTATATTTCTATATCATAAATCTATAACAACTATGTGTATATTGAAACTTATGGCATAAATAAAAAGATGGTGAATGAAACACCGCGTTGCAGATTGGAGCATGTGAAAATAAAACACCAGACATTTTTCTAAATATTCTTCTTTGTCGCGATTTCAAAATTAGAGGTTAATATGATTATTCATGTTTATGCCACTAGCAAAAACTAACCATAATATGATTGATGACTCACTTAATGAGTTATATACATAATAAATGTATACAATAGATATATGAATTGTTGCGTAACCATTTGGTGAGAATTGTGCAAGCTGTAAAATATTTGTTGAAAGGCCTCTCATTTAATGAGTTATATACATAATAAATGTATANAATAGATATATGAATTGTTGNGTAANCATTTGGTGAGAATTGTGCAAGCTGTAAAATATTTGTTGAAATGCCTCTCTCTTGATCGGGAAGAACTATACATAAGTCAACGCAATATTTAATACAATAGTGTATAGGTTGTTTTTTTTATATGGTACTGCTACCACTTGGTCAATAATATATTTGGTATTATATATTGATCTCAATTCCGCTATTCTCTTCCTATAAGATTGCAATGTTTTTTAATGCCAAATATGACAGGTATCATCAACAGTGTTGGAATTAATTTTTAATAATCCCAACACTATTGATACGAATGACAGTGGTCATATTTAGCTTTATGTGTTATCTACTTTTCATATTATTCAAGTGGAAGAGGTCTATTCACACTAAACAAACAAAATTAGATGATTTTAGAAGGTTTGTCTACAATGGTTTAAACTATGAATCTGTAATTTTAAAGTGAATTTTGTTGTAACTAAGAATTCTCGTATAAACAAAAGTAATAATATGTACAACGATGTTATTTATAAATATTGTTACTAGAGTTTAAACGATTTAATTGTAATTTAGAATTGTTACTAATATAAATACATGAATATATGTTTGAAAGTTGGAAAAACTTAAATTGTCATTTACGGAAAAATGATTAATCCAATTAAATTAACGATAATTATAATTGAAGGTGAATATAACATGGAGTACCTTGACATTCCGAAACCTATAGACCTATAGGTGAAGCCGAAATTTGAAATTTAATCACGTGGCATAAAAGAAATTTAAGCTAATTACTTATGGATATATTAGTTAATCGAAAAATGTCTTTGTGCATATACTAGTAAGAAAGTCAGTTTTGATTTGCACCAAAGTTAAACCCTTAAATTTTACATTTTTGAAAAAATTGGGTTGTGTTAGTTTTTGTTACGATTCGCACCAAAATCTAACTATTTGCAAATTAAATAAGAGAGAATTTGTAAGTACATTGTACATTTTATTGGTCTGAGCATTATAATATTTTATATATGCTACTTTTCATCCATTAAAATTTGTTTATTGGATTTGTCACTAACGTTATAATCATATAAAATCATTCAGTAAGACGTGAACTCGCAATCGCCTTTTTTTTGGGCAAATTTTCACACTCATTTCGGAAAAAAATAGGGTAACCTGGTATTCGATTTTTTTTCAAAGACATACGGAAGATAAATATCCTCCCACGCTTGTCCACTTTTTATGTAAGGCTAGGTTTTGGATCACGATACGCGTGGATTCTTTGTATAAATTTTTGTTGAAAATTTGCTACTAAAAATATTTATTAAAATATTTGTTGTTTAGTAATATATATCCCAATATATAAAAATATTCATAACGATTTTTATCTTTAAATTTTAAAATATACAATTTAAAAACTTTAGCAGTGTAAATCTAGATTATAAATTGATTATTAATGTAAAATATTTTGTTGATTTAATAGATTTTTAATATGAAAATGTAATATTTTTATAGTTTATTTTCTTTGTAATAATTATAGTCAAAATATTACATTTTAAAATCTATTAAATCAATTAATTATTACATTTTCTTTGATTTGATGTAATAATTATAGTCAAGTATTATCTTTGATTTAATACTTTCAACACCACGAAGTTTTTGATTTTTAAA